GGAAGGACCTTAAAAATTTATTTCTTGAAAGGATTTACTTATGAAATTTATTTGCTGCTCATCTCATATCCAACAACTCTGGGCAGCTTACAGCATGAATTAAATCAGCATAAATTAATTATTCGAGGGATGGGTTAAGTCTTCACACTGGAAAGTCCTTGGAAGGAAATCATCGTGTACAAACTGAATAAATAAATCATGGACAGACTTCCTGTACAATTTTTCTAGAGAGGAACATCTAAACTGGTAGAGTTGGTTAGGTCCGCTGGCTGGTTTTCCATACACAAACCACTTGATCTGTAAGAGGGGTAGGTAGCATGAGTGTCCTTCATCCTTTTAAATTTGTATTTATCCTTTCAAGTCACTCTTGGCAAGTCCATATAGCTTTCTTCCTTTCGGGAAACGAGAGTCTTACTTCGTGTCTCAGTATGGTATAGTAAGATACTACAATATTTTATGATACTTTTATATCTAAATGCTGTGCAGGATAGCTTATTTTTTTAATGCAATAAAGCCAAAGAAGACTAAGGAAGAACCTCAGTAGGTTTCCTTCTTGATTCAGATTTTTGTTAAATTTTAATTAGGTTCAACAAAAGCTGAACCATTGCTCATTCTTGCTTTGGGGAGAGTCCTTCCCAGGGTGAGGGGCCAATACATGAATGAATCTAAATAAATAAGTATAAGTTAATAGAATAAAATTAGTGCAGGGTTTTTCTGGGTGATGCATTGATTTTTCACCCCACTGATCCTTGTAATTATCTTAACTTTGGGTGGGTGGGGATTGAGGAAGACTATGATTAGCCAATTGCAGAGGAATGCATGGAGTAAATTCTGGTGTTTTGTTTCCAGGGGTCATCAAGGCAGAGAAACGAGTCGGACTCCTTTATTCCCGGACATTTATGGTGGGAAGAAAAATAGTAAGTGCAATCCTTCAGGACGATGCTCCGGGTTCCTTTTTATAGTCCTTATTGAAGAAACTGCACATCAGTCTGGTGACTTCACACACGTAGCAGTAATCATGAGGCACATTGAAGCTGTTTTCTAATTCAAGATGGTCTGAAAGCCACCCCACTTAATTAAAGACTGCTTTTTAGCTTTCTGCTTCTTTGTTTAGACGAAAAGTCCCAAGGTCGGTTGCAGTTTGTACTGAACACGGACAGTCCTGGTCCAGCAGCTTACTCGCCTCCCTCCATGGCCTACAGAGAAACCATCGCCCCGTCCTATACGTTTGGGTGGAAGACCCCTCCTCGAGGTATTGGGGAAGGGACACAGGGACCACGCACTTGAGCGTTGACCTTGGAGCCATTGCTAAGCCCACCTGGCAGGTAAAGAACCACCTGCCTTAAGATGAAGGTCTGTCTGAGGAAGGAGAAAGGGTAGAGTTTGCAATTTCAAACTGTATTCTTTCTCTGTCGCCCCTCTCATTCGGCGAGAGGTTCAACATTAGGTTGTGGGAGAAGAGCAAGCAGAGATGGGGGCGGAGTTAAACGCGTTATCGGCCTAGAATCCTTACGTTGCCACAAATAGTCCAGCTCCTCTTGAATTCTGGTGACCCTTACCTGGGTGCAAATTTAGCGTTGGAACTTTTTAAGACTCGACCAGATTCCTCTGTATAGGTATGAATGTATCTTCTAATGTTGCAACTTAACGGACATGTCACACAGTAGATAAATGAGCTGATTGGATACATTTCTTCTATGGGAGATTTGCAAGATCCTGCACCCCATCAAGGGAAAACAACGGAATGGGTGTTCTTGTTTTGTCGTCAAATGTCTTCCTTTATAGACGTGGTGGAATAAAATGGGAGAATATGGGTTGGACTCTTATTTCAGGAGAAAGCATAGGTGGCCCTTGAGTTACAACCATTCATTTAGTGACCGATCTCACAACAGCACTGGAAAAAAGTGACTTATGACAGCGGCCTCCCCAAGATCACCTGATCCAATTTCAGACGTTTGGGAACGTACTCAAATTTATGACCATCGTCGTGTCTTGGGGAATCAGGAGATCCCCTTTGCGACTGGCGAACAGGAAAGCCAGGTCGACTTCAAGACGGTGTTACTCATTTAATAACTGCGGAGTTTTGTTTAATAGCTGTGGCAAGAAATGTCGTAAAATAGAGCCAAGCTCTCTTTTAAGAATTGTCTCACATAGCAATGGAAATTTTGAGTTCAGTTAGGGTCGTAATTTGAGGAAAGCATTAAATTGGCCCGTTAAATGTTTTTTTTAAGAGACGATCCTGGTAACAAAAAGAAACCTAGGTTGAATCTTTGCTGAAAATTGGTCTTTGCAGGAAACGTCAGAGGTAAAACAGTCCAAACAGCTGTTCCAACATGTCACCTGATTGGTCTCTTCCTGTCAATCAAGGGCGAGATTGAATTATGAGAAATCTCAAGGGAGATTTTTGAAAATTGAGATTTTTCTTAAGCCCCGCATCGTGACGGTGTTATTTTTCTACTAGAAGGCGGAGGCCGTCGTGCGTGGCAAAAGTCTTGGTTCATGAGCAGAAACCCCTTCTGGAGGAAAGTGGATTTCAGCACCGAAACCAACGTACGTTGTCGCTCACAATGCGGGATCTCCTGGAAGCTCCTTCAGATGTGATGATGCCTAGAGGTCCACCATGGGCAGACATCAATAAACCTGCAGTTCAGTGGATCTGCTCCAGTTCCTCTCTCTATTTTTTATTTCCTCCCCCCAGTGGCCTTCTCCTTCCCAATATGGTCAACTCTTAGGAACCAATCTTGGCAACCGGTCAAACACTCCAAACTTCACCTTCGGCCAGAGAGGAGAGTACGCTTTGATTAACAAAGGTGAGGTGGTCCCAACATAACTTCTCCGGGGACAGGAAGGCTTTCTTGTTCTTGGTAAGCCACCAAGGAACCAGAGGTTGAGGAACATCTGGAAAACAACTCAACGGCCCTTCGGCTGACCTTGGAGCTAAGCAGGGGCAGGCTTGTTTTGGATTTGGGAGATGGGTTAGGGAGTCCCAGGTTGTAGAACATCCCCAAAGTAAATATTTGCGTGTGCTCGAATGCAAGTCATTTTCTTTCCCTTGGACAGCGGGCAATGAAACACCCGCAAGCTTGGAGAACACAAAAGGTTCAACCCTGAGCTACAAATATTCTAAGGATTACCACCATTTTCTCTTGCAGGCGCCATCGATGAACCAGGACCCAATCGATATAACATTGACCGTGCCTACACATTTGTGCTTCACCGTTCACCGTCCATAATCATCAACCCTGCCCCTCTCGCTCTGTACAGGTGGATTGAAAAAGGTGAGGAACCTCAAGAGAATCAGGCTGTCTTTTATAGTCTTAAGTCATCCAGTTGTATCAAGTGGTTTTCACTTTGAAAGTGTTTTTTTTTTTTAAGAAAAACAAGGTTTTCCTTCCTGTCCTCTCTCAACAAAGGAAGAGCTATAGACACCACCTATCCCCAATTTATAATATACTCCTTTTGGCTGTTTCAAGATTTCACACACCTGATTCAGGTGACCTTGAGGTCACAGGTAAAACCCCAAATAGCCACCATGGTTCTCAGTGTGTTTAAGACTAATTGACTGCAAAGAAAACACAATATTTTCATTCTCCACCCCCCCTGACAGAACCTCCAAAAATCAGTCCAGTTGCCTTTTCAAAAATAAAAATAAAAAAACCCTTGATAAGAGGATCAGAAGAAATCCATTCCTTCAGATTGTACGAAGTTAACCGTTTCTAGTTTCCCCAAGGGGAACGTCGTAAAAACAGTATGGCAGAGGGGTTTAAAGCAAGCCTTAAACAAACTACGATCTTCACAGCTCCAGACCATGGTCCCTTCTAACCTTGGGGTACGATTTTCATTCTTCTTAGCGAAATCCAGATATATGCCAGGAGACACCAAATGATCTCCGGCCATCTTTTTTCTTGGCAGTGGAGACTCCAGGCCCAGGGGCTTACAATGTAGACAAAGGGTACAACGCTCGTCTGCCCAGGTGCCCAAGCTTCTACATCCAAGGTGTGAGACGACCCAAGAAGCACGAAACAGGCCCCTTTTCGACGCTGTGAAGCTAGCGACAACAAAACTGGGCTCGTTCTGGCTCCATTTCTGCTCCTTGTAACATCTGTGGGCTGCTTGCGGTTAATACATGCTTGCAAAAAAAGGTTTGAAAAAGACACTATCTCCTGTTTATAAGCCTTCTAGGCTGGGTTGTATTAGTAAGGGAGGAGAGAAATAAAGAATATCCATCTAGGAAAACTACAAGGACAAAACCCAGTAGCCCATTGGAAATGTTTGTGGAATGGAAAAGAGTCATTTTTTTTTAAAGGTTGCCAATTTTACTCTTACAAACTTTCAAAAACAAAAGACAAAACTGCCAAATTGCATTTCTTGACCTTACCTTCATTAAAAAGAAAGTCCAGGTCAATGGAGAAGCAAAGCCTTTTTGTTTGTACACAAGCATTGTAACTACATCACATTTGTACAGTGTGTAGGTGGTGTTGCCGCTAGAAAATAGGAACAATGACTTTTGGCTATTTTTTTTTAGTTACATACTGAAAAATAAAACCTTTGGCTGTAAAACTCAGCTGAACAAATTTTGAGAAGAGTTAAAAATTAAATCCCTGACAACATTTCTGTGTTCATACAGTCCTCAATTTACAACAATTGCACCCAAAATTCATCCTGAGGATAAATTTGTTAAAAGTGAATTTTGCCCTATTTAATGACCTTTCTTGCCACAGCTGTTAAGCGAATCACTGCAGTTAAGTTAGTAACCCAGTTGTCAGTGAATGTGGCCTCCCCACTTATTGTCAAAAGAGGATCACAGGATGCAATTGTTGTGAGTTAGGTGCTAAGCATCCAAATTTTAATCATCTGACTATAGAGATGTTGCAATGGTTGTTAAGTGTGAAAAACCATCATAAGTCCCTTTTTTCTAGTGCTACCATAACTTTGAACGGCCACAGAGGCAAATCTGGTGTAATTGGTTTTAAAATAGAGTTGAGAAAGAGCTGCAGTTAACTTGGTACAATTTTTATTATTTTTGAAATGCGTACACAACATTTTCAACATTCTAAGGGGCTGTGATGGAATCATGCCCAAAGAAGCCAAACTGGAGAGTTGGTGAAGATAATAGGATTCTATCTTTCATGGTGGCAGCCAAACTACTTTTGTCACAGGATAGTTCAGGTAGCAGACTTATTAGCTCTGTTGGAGAAGGAAAATAAAAAGGCAGATTAGTTACAGATTGACTTTCTCTCCTGCAACAACCCTGGACCAGGGAACTGAATCACCCTGTCAGTTTTATTGGCCAGGTGTTAATACTTATCTATTTATTAGATTTGTTTTTATCCCATTATTTTTTTTATAGGTAACTCAAAGCAGCAAAAATACACAATATTCTTCCCTCCTCCAATTTCCTCCACAACAACCACCCTAAGATGTGGAGGGGAAATGGCCCAATGTCACCTAGTCGGTTTTCACGGCTAAGGCAGGACTACAACTTACTGTCTCCTGGTTTCTAAGCCAGGATATTAATCACAACCCCCAAAGGTTGCGGATTAAATGAGCATCTGTTTTTAAAAAGGCAAATACTCACCGCTGGGCATTCAATTGCCCCACTATTGATGTCATCAATGATATCATGGGGGTGTCTCCCATCCACACTGCAGCCAACCGACTGAGCAGTTCCCAGGATCTCCTTAATGGTTCCTGCAAGAACCAAGAACGTCTGAATTCACATTAAGTGTCCACCGGCTGCGTGTGCAAACTGACTTCCCTACCCCCAAAATGTAGAATGGCCAAAAGTCACTGTAGATCTAAGTGCACAAGAATCCTGCTCCTCTGATCAGGATGTGAATTCATAATTCCTCGTATCTCCCAGTCATCCATCGAATACGGGGGAGGTTTATTATAATCTTGTTTGGAAATCAACTGCGGCTCCTTCGGGAGAGGGCCAAGCCCTTGTTTCAAGGCCCCCCAATGAAAAGTTGAGTTTGAACCCAAGGGGCAGAGGAGGAGAAAGTCCAAATCTAGCTCACAGGTCTATTAAAATTTCAATTTAAAAGTCGGCTGCCGGTTAATTTTGCCAAACTGAAGTATCATACAGAGATATTTCTCTTTATTGTCCTCTTCTTTTGAGCTACAAGCCTGGCCCTTTCAACACACATTCCTTTTAGGACCTGGATTCTTCAACCTAAGATGACTTTTAAGTCCAGCTTGGATTCTGGGGTATTGGCCACTTGTCGAGTAGTAGACTGGCTCTACTTCTAATAAGTAGGGAACCATTAACCAGAGGAACGGCTTCCTTCCAGAAGTTATGGGGGCTCCAACACTGGAGGTTTCTAAGAGGAGACTGGACTAGAAGACCTCAAAGATCCTTTCTTGCTCTAGCCTACTCTACATTCCCAATTGTCAGCTGCTGAGAACAAAACTCTTCCTCTTCGTTGAAGAAGTGATCCCATCTTACCGGAGAGTTCTCGGGCCAAGGATCGATGCCTCATCTGCCGGGCAATGTTGACGATCTCATCGAAGCTGACACTTCCGCTGTGCTTAACTGTGTTAGGGGGGGAAAAAAAAACACAACAAAGAAGGATCCCAGTTGGGGGGTTTTTTTGTGTGCCAGGAGAGTCGATCGCATCGCTCAGAAAACTTTTGCACGCCCGCCGTTCTGCTTCTGTTCCCAGTCTTCGGCACAGAGTTACCCACGGAGAGAATAGCTCTGTTTCCTTGAAAGGGTTTTTTCCTCTCAGCTCACCACTGGAATGCGCAAGCCACGCCTGAAAATAGGCAAGCGCAGTGGCGGGTGGCTGGCGCCAAGAACATTGCTGCGGTGTCCTCCACACCCCCCACCCCCCCGAAAAACCTGGGCACAATTAAAAGGCCCGTGAACGCAGGTAGTCTTCGCCTCACGACTCGGCGATTGTTTCTGTGGCTAAAGCAAAGACAGTTGGGCTTTGCCCAGTTTTACGACCTTTGTTAAATGAATCACTGCCGCTGTTAAATTGGCAGCACGGCCATTAAGGGAATCTGGCTTCCCCAGTGGATTTGTATTTGTTGCAAAAGTGGGTCATGTGACCCCCAGGGAAACTGCAACCGTCATATAAATGAGTCAGTTGCTAAGCGCCTGAATTTTGATCACGCAACCATCGGGGAGGCTGCAAAGCTGTTGGTTAGGACACTTTTTTCGGTACCGTCGTAACGTTGGACTGTCACTAAAGGAACTGCTTTAAGGCGAGGATTTCCTGTATTACTGGAGCCGACAGCCATGAAAAGTTAATTTCAAACGGCGGACTTCCAAGTTAGCTTGCATCCCAGCCTGACTATACACCTATTTGGCTGATTTCATCCCGTCGTTACGAGGCTACCCTTGTGTCTTTCCACAAGTTGGGTGGTGTCTGCAGCTGAGCAGTCAATGAAGATCAGGACATGCGCATTTTTCTTAAATAAAACCAAGGAGTCACTCACTGTTCTTCTGCTTCTTGCGATCGCGAGGCGGCTCCTTCAGCGCTTTGATGATCAGGGCAGAGGCTGATGGGACCACCTCAATCTACAGGGGGCAAACAGCCAAACTGTGAGGCCAGGAGGTGGTCAGCTTTTGGTTCTAAACAATCCAATCCACCCCATTATAGACTCACAAAGTTGGCTCAGATGTCGGGGGAACTCAACCCAGTGTGATTTACTCAACAAAACGTGTAGGTGTCCCAATCTTGGTATGCCGAGCCTCTGGCTTGGCACACTTGTGAAATGCCTGAACCCATTCACAAGGTGACAGTAAGGTGACAGGCCTGTTACAAGGATGCTGTAACAATAAGCCGTGTGTGTGTGTGTGTGTGTGTGTGTGTAAACCTTAAATTCTATACCTGCACTCAACTCGTTTTTGCTCTGCATGTAATCACATGTCTCAGAATCAGCTTGCTGTCAGGATTCCGGCAGTTCCGGGGGTGCTGCCTTTGGAGGTTTGTGGAGTCTGGCAGCAGTGATGAAGAGGGCCCCGGGTTGCCCGTGCCAAAAGGGCTGCTCAAAGGAAAGAGCAGCTGAAGCAGCACAGGCGACTCAGGAGTAAGGCTGCAAGGTGATGGCCCCGTTCCTTGAAGGGATAAAAGCCAGCCTTTCGGGTTGGCTTCTTTGCAGGAAGCAAAGTTCTATCTACTCATAGTCCTCATTGACGCCCTACTTACTCCGGTTTGTTTTTGGAAACTTCTGGCTTTGGATATTTCTATGCAAATTACTCTTTGTGTTCTTGGAAGCCTTTCGCAACCTTGAAAGGGCTTGCTTTTATCTGGGACAATTAGTTTTAATGACTCTTTGCTGTGAACTAACAGAATTCACAGAAACGCATTAAAAAGGTTTGCTTTTATATATATGATTGATTTGTGTCAGAACAGCCCAGGATTCCCCCATGGGCTTGTATTCTACTCAAGGTCCGATCTTAAGTGACCTCCCACAGAACAAATTGGAGTGGTACTCATTTTATCGACCTCGGAAGGATGATAGGCTGAGTCAACCCTGCCGGGATTACAGCTCATGGCAGCAGCTCGGCCAATCCTTTTGAGACTTGGCAGAGTTTAACCACAGAGCCATCCCTTATGGCGTTGCCTGTACCTGTGCTTGCCTGTTCTGAATCGTCAGCTTCACGGTGATCCTCAGTCCTTTCCAGTCACCGGTGGCCTTGGCAATGTCATCTCCCACCTTCTTTGGGGACTGAAAAAGGCAGAAGCAGGATTTTTCAGTAGTTTTTCATTTTTCAGTTTCGGTATTGGCCATAGATTCTGGCCCTGAAATGGGACACATGTTTGACTAATCGAACCGGTAACCCGGTCACTTAAATTTAGCTTCCACAAGTCAATGGGGACAAATACTTAATTTCGTTGTACAATAAAGTAAACTAATTAGTCCAGAGGACATGAATTCAGCACAAGCCTAGGTGTGATTCTAATGGCCAACACCCAAGGTTGAGCAAAGACAATTTTGTAGACTTGAAAAAAACACTTTTTGCTTGCTTTAAAAAAAAAAATGTACTCAGGTTAAAATTCCCAGAGTCGAAAACTCTAATTCAAGAAAATGTAAAATCAAGGCATACCAAACCCAAAGGTCCAATTTTGGGAGCCAGGGCAGAAGTGGCCCCCACTTCACCTCCGGTGCATCTCAGGAACACTGCAAGAAAAATAAAGACAATATAATAACGACAACTGTTAAAATGAATCCTAAACACTCCTGAGGTTTATCACAATTGCACGGAGATCCCCAGGCAAAAGCAGGCTGCCTTTCCCACGTGTTAAGTTATTTTACAATTCAGAGGCTTTCAAGAAGAGATTGGACTGTCAGAAATGAAATATGTGCAAAGCTAGAAAACGGGGGAAATAAAAACGATGCAGTGTAAGGCAGAATTAATGATCTTATTAAAACTTCCTTTTTACGACCCTGTAAATCCCTTTTATTTATTAAATTTATATGCCTCTCCTCATTTTTTTCATCGTTAATTTCTGCAAAGTTAATGAAATGCTTAACACACACACACCCCATTAAGCGAGGGATAATTGGGTTCAATAGGAAAGGGGTCAAGACAATAGGAAGCACTGAAAAATCAGGCAAAATACTGAATAATATACTGAATACGGTATATTATCTGATTACTACAAAATACTGAATAATCAGGCAAAATACTGAACAAATATACAGGATAGACACGCAAGGAAGCGCTTTCACACGACCCGCAGGGAACGGTTCCAAATGCAGCCTAAGAGAAGAACCAGGCAGGCTCCATACCCACCGACTTTGATCTCGTTGGGGTCGAACTTGGGCGGCATGGTGGCTCCGGTAACGTCCCGCCAACGTCGGACTCAGATGGCGCCGGATTCAACAAAACGACCAACCGGCTGCGGAACGAAAATTAAAAAGGCCTCGGATGGCCGCGGCCTCGAGATATATAAGCCACACAAGATCTCGCGAGATCGACCCAACGGCCGTATCGACCACGTGGGGGGGGGCGGTGAAACGCGACTCCTCCGTCCGGAAAGCGGCGTCCGCCCGACTTCTCGCGAGACTTTGCGTCTCTGCGCCGCCATGGCTGCTAAGGGCACCGCTACCCGGCGAAGAAGCGAAGCCTTTTTGATTTGAAGGAGCCGTTTCTCAGAAGGGCGCGGAGCCGGGAGCGACGCGGAGGCTTCCCCGGGATAAACCGCATGGAGGGAGCGGGGAAAAGAGAAACGAAAGCGGGGTGGGCTCTGAAACGACTCTTTTGTGTCACGGATGAGCAGAGTCGGTAAGTACGGGCCGCGAGGAAGGACAAACTCAGCCAAGTGGGCGGGGCTCGACTCTTCCCTTCCCACTCAAGCCCTGGGCGTGGATCCAAGGAAGGGGGCGTGGCCGCTCCTTAGCTGTGCCCCTCCCCTCCTGCTTCTGGGCGTGGCTAAGCCAGCTGGTCTTGCATTTCCTGCCTTTTTATATTTAGCCATTTATTTATTTCTCCCTTTCCCCACAATCAGATCAGTGTAATTGCTTTGGCTTCTGATTACCATCCACCCAGGCCCTCCTTTCTTGCCCCTACCCTGGTCCTTTCACCAGCCGCCTCCTTGCTGGCATGACAGGCAAGAAATCCAGCTTCACCTTTTGAGTGTCTGCCTTGGATCCCTTGGAAGTACATTCAGCCCGATGCCATGGGGCTTCCTGGCGGGTAAGAAAAGGGGGGCGGGGGGGGGAAGCAGCAGCTTAATTTAGGATCCAGGATATGTGGGTCTGTCTAGGTTGGACTAGATGACCTACAAGGTCCCTTCCAACTCTGATTATCTGATAAATGACTGTTAAATGCAAGCAAAAATGCTGGCTAAACTCTCATCCCAATGAGCTGGGTGGCTCGAAAGGAAATGAATAGAATTTATTTTATTTATAAATAGAATAGTGTTACCATTGGGATGGAAGGATTAATTTATGATAGGAAAAATCGGGGGGGATTTCTTCCCCAAGGGCCTTTTCTGACAAATATTAATAATCATTCTTTTCAAAAATTACGTGCTGCCCAGCCCAGTTATTCTCGTCAGTATAAAAACATTTTGGTAAAGACAGAAGCCTTGTTTACAAATGCCAGACATGTCTTTAATTGCCAAGGTCCAGCCAATGTCATTGTTCCAGTGGATTTTATTGTTTGCGTGTCTCGAAGGCACAGTTATTTATTACTTCATTACCCAACTAGGTAACATCATCAGTGCACCAATGAGAGGAGTCATATTTGGGGTTTCTGAGAGGATACCCCTATCTTAACGATTGACCTTCATTTCTGTTGACAATCAACTAGTCTTTGCCCTTCCTTACTTTCCGGAGGTTTTGTCCTATCTCTCACTTTCCCCGCTCATCGAGTTTGAAGGCTGGGGCTGATGGGGATTTGTGTCCAAGAGCAACTGCAGGGAAGCTAGGAAAAGCCAATGGGTGTCAAAGATAGGTTGTCAAGACGGTGTTCATTTTCTAGGGTGAGGTAGGCAGAACCTGCCGAGCAGGCCAATCTACGGATGACTTGATCTGGGATACAACTTTCTGCTATTCCTGCTGCTCAGGTTCTGATTACCATCCTGTCGCAGCCGCCTTTCCTGCTGAACTGAGATAAATGGAGACCGGAGGCAGGATGATGCTTTTCTTTCGGAAAAGGAAGGCGAGCAGCGAAGCCCGGAAACGTCTGGAATACCAAATGTGTCTTGTAAGTCATGGGAAGACAACCAGGTCCTGAATATCTGGCCCCAAGCCCTTAATCAGGAACCTGGCTTGAGTTGCGAGATGGGTTGAAGTTTCTCAGAAGCTTCCTGATGGACCAAACTGGAAGAGACCTTCTCTGGTCTTGGTCCTTTGATAGAGCCCTTGGGAATGAGCCCTTGGGAATGACCACTGGTCTCTCTAAATTACAACATCTCCCCGTCCTTCTGTTTGCAAATCATCTTCATATCTCATCATGGCTTCGTAGAAGTTAACAGTCCATGTCTTCAAAGACACCAAGGATCTGCTAACTGGGTTGGTGGGTTTGTTTCCTAGAGATCCCTGAGGAAACCACTGAAGAACAAAAATTCAGTTCTCCACACTTGGGGAAACTCAGTAGGGGCCACCAGTATTGCTCAGTTCCACCTCCTTCCTAGCTGCCTCTTTCACTTTAGTTCAGTAGAACCTGAAGACTTGAAGGAACTGAAATGATTCCCACCCATCCTCTGATTTTGCAGTCGGTAAAACTCTTCTGTCCATTTTTCAACAGGCCAAAGAAGCCGGAGCAGACGATATCCTTGATATCTCCAAATGTGAACTTTCTGAGGTAAATTCTCTCCATTTCTGGTTCCTGGTGGGTTAGTTGCCCAAATGATGGCAACTCTTACGATGGGAACTTTGTAGTCAAAAACCTGAAGTACATTCCTTCGCAATTCTGGATGCAGAATTGGCAGTTTCATCAAAGAAAATGTCACACCGGATAGATTTTGAACCTAGGCAAAATCTGTTTTAAATTAGGCCTCATCTTCTAATGCCTCTTGTCTGAACTGGCCCAGAACTTTTTTTGAATGCTCCCTTAATGGTTCTGATTGCTTTTGTCTCACCAAAAATTTATTTTCTTTCTTTCTTTCTTTCTTTCTTTCTTTCTTTCTTTCTTTCTTT